ATAGATAGATAGATAGATAGATAGATAGATAGATAGATAGATAGATAGATATAGATAGCAAAAATCAAAAGGCTATAATACAGGTGTCATATAAGCTGATCCCTCAGCATGGGGACAGCTGAGACTGAATGAAACATGATATAACTTGTTAGTTACAGAGTCCTCATGACTTATTATTACATACAGTCCTCTCATATGGCATGGCTGGAAATTTATATTAATATTTGGCTATATAGTCCAGATGGACTTATGAAGTTGACAGATGTTTTTTTATATGCTCAAACAGAATAAAGAATCATCTTTAGCTGATTTACTTTCCATGGTTGTGTTAATGCAGATATGTATGTTAACTTTAAAAGTTTGTGTTGTAGGGACTGGTAAGATGGCTCAGAGGTTAAGAGCACTGGCTGCTCTTCCAGAGGTCCTGAGTTCAAGTCCCAGCAACTACATGGTGACTCACAACCATCTATCTGATGCCCTCTTCTGGTCTGTAGACATACATGCTGTTAAAACACTGTATACATAATAAATAAATTAATTTGAAAAAATGTTTGGCCAGGCAGTGGTGGTGCACACCTTTAATCCCAGAGAGGCAGAGGCAGGCAATTCGCTTTGAGCTTAAGGCCAGACTGGTGTACATAGTGAGTTCCAGGACAGCTAGAATTGTTCCACAGAGAAGCTGAAAAGTTTGTGTGTTTTCAGCCAAGTGGTGGGGCACACCTTTAATCCCAGCATTCGGGAGGCAGAGGCAGGCAGATCTCTGTGAGTTCGAGGCCAGCCTAGTCTACAAGAGCTAGCTCCAGGACAGGCTCCAAAGCTACAGAGAAACCGTGTCTTGAAAAACCTAAAAAAATTAAAAATTAAAAAAAAAAGTTTGTGTGTTTTCAAAGCAGATCAGACACCAGTAAAGACAAAACAATATCCCAGGAGATCCAGCCTCTCAGAATGCCTTTGTTGCAGCTTCCTCAAATAGCTACATCCAAATAACTTCAAAACAGTTAGCTAAAATGATCCAGCCTCACAGACTACTCCAGCCAGGACTTCAGAGAAGCCCTGAACTTTCCCATTACACCAAGACTGGACAACAGTTAGCTCTCCCAGGACTTGACCATTATCTTAATTTTCTCAGGGTCCTCTAAAGAGGCCATTGCCTCAAGATAACAAGAAGTAATTTTAAGAAAATGATGCCTACATTTCCAAGAGGTGGGGTGGACAGTTTTTGGTCATTTTTTAAAATATTTTTTATGGTTTATTAAACTTTATTTTATGTGTGTTGGTGTGAAGGTGTCAGATCCCCTGAAACTGGATCTTCAGACAGTTGTGAGCTGCCATGTGGGTGCTGGGAATTGAACCTGGGTCCTCTGCAAGAGCAGTCAGTACTCTTAACCACTGAGCCATCTCTCCAACCCCCAGTTTTTGGTCATTTGGTGGGTTATGGATGTCTGTCATCATTTATGGGGGTTAGTTGGAAGTTATTATTTGTTATGGTCAGAGAGGAAACTAAACAAAAGAAGTTAATTCAGGGTCTGGAGATTTAAGAGCACTGACTATTCTTCCAGAGGTCCTGAGTTCAATTCCCAGCAACCACATGGTGGCTTACAACCATTTATAATGAGATCTGGTGCCCTCTTCTGGTCTGTAGACACACATGCAGAAAGGACACTATACATAACAAATAAATAAATCTTTTTTTTTTTTTTAGAAGTTAATTCAGTTAATCCAAAAAAAGAGTCTGGAATGTTTGGTTGGGGGCTTCACTCCAACCTCCTGGCATTCATATACACAAGGAGTCTGGAAAGTTCTAAGCCCCCTCCGCTGGAAGTGCTGGAAGTGGCTGCAGTCCAGACCCCACCTCCAAGAAAGCCCACCAAATGGTGACCCCTCTCCAGGGAGGGTCAAAACCACTCCAAAGGCTATTTAAACTGCCCCTGGTTTTCCATGATTGTTCCGTTCTCCTTTCCCCTCTCTGTGTTTTCCCAGGGGCTACCCGGGAGCGCTACCATTCATTAAACCTGGGCACCTTCTAATTTGGTTTGATTTTGTTTAATTTGGATTACCGCATCAGTGAAGAGGTTTGTTGGTCCAGAAATACTTAACACCCTGTCTTAAAAACAAAAAACAAAAACAAACAAAGGAAAGAATCTGCCCTTGTCTCAATTGTTGGGACTATTTGGAGTCCTGGCCTCCAGCTGCTCTTCCCTGCTAATGATCTTTACTTTCTTTCTGATTTGAGTTACTAAAAGCTGTGTCAAAGTTGTTTACCAGTGAGCATGTGTTGCCTTGGCCTTGAGGATCAGAGGATAAGGTTTTCACCTGTTGGCCCACTTGACTGTTGGGTATATAAGCCTCCATGGTACTAACAAATAAAGGGCTTTTTACCAGTGACTAGAGGTCCGTGTCCCTGTCTCTCTGTCTAAGTGTGTTTGTATGTTTCAACCTCCAGCCCCTTGCTCAAAGCTCATACCGAACTGTATGGTAGTTCATAGAGCACAGACAGGCGTTGGGCGCTGCACCCAATCACTGACAGACAGTATGCTGTCAATATTGGACAAGCAAGACACAAAAGAATGCCACTCCCCAATTTTGCCAAGACAAGGTAGACTAGTCCTTCATAATTTCTACTTCACAGAAAAGTCTGTCAGAAATTCTAGGCCCATAGGACAAGATGGATGTCCCAATGTGGCAGAGGAAACTTGGGTGATTGTCCGGGCATCCTGTTGTCTCTGTCAATTCTATAGTTTGGGAAGTTGCTTGCTCTGTACTTCCTGTTTACTCAGGCAATATTTTATCCTTCTAGGGTCTCTGGTGGGGTTAAGGACTAGATTTTGAAGACTAGATATCATTTTCTTCTTTACCAAATTAAAAAAAGAGATATAAAGTTTATAAGTTTGAGAGACAAAAACTTTAGTTGTTTATCCAAGAACATCTTTTAAGATCTAAATATATATTTTCAGGATGGTAATACAAGTTATAATAGAAAGTGGTTTACGTATACAACTTTGGACTCATCAAGAGAGGGTGTCGGGAGGCAAATTTCTGCAAATTTGCCAAATACAAATGGACTGAACTTTGTGAATGTAATCCTTGCTTGATAATCATTATTTTGTCTATTTATTTTTTCAAGAAAGATTTTCTCTGTGCAAGTCTTGGCTGTTCTGGAACTCACTCTGTAGACCAGGCTAGCTTTGAACTCATAGAGATCCTCATGCTTCTGCCTTCTTAGTGCTGGGAATCAAGGTGTACAACACTACCACCCAGCT